AAAAATAACTAGAAGAGAAGAAAACAAGACTATCTAAACCCACAGCAACCAGATGTCAATGCACACATCTGTGACAGAGACAGGGTGAATCATATATTCCAGGCCAGCCTGGGCATCATAGCAAGACCCTGTCTCAAAAAACTGAACTAAAATAAAAACCTATCCTATTGATGAATCTGGAAAGGTCAAAGTTTATACAGCCAACTGCCAAAACTTATTTAAGAGCTAGACTACATAAAAGAAAAATGTATGGCTTCCAGGATATGCTTGTAGGCTCTGTTAGCTGTCAGGAACCAGACCATTCACGTGACGAATAAATTGGGGATATAGGTACAATGTGTGCTTGGCGCCAAGAAGCATATCTGACTGGATGAAGAGATGTGTGACACACTGAGGCCTTGAAACCGAGACCTGAGGATGGAGGAGGGGGTTGGCATGGCAGCAGGGTAGGACAGGTTAAGACTGGTTAAGACTGATGCTTAACCTCTGGTCAAAACGGCTTTGGCCACCCATACTCACCTGGGCTGGCAGAGGCTCCGGGGACACCTCGTTTTTCCTGAAACTGACAAGCCTGCCAGGATTCACTGGCTAATCCAGACAGATCAATTACAGCAGCAGAACCAGTGAGCCTGACAGCACCAGTACCTGCCCATTCCCCTGGGCCCTCCCTAGGAGCTCTGCAGGTGCAGTCTCTCCAGGGGACAGTGAGAGCCATGAATAGTAAGCGTTTTAGCTCAAGCACATAGAGGCGTTTAGCTGCCTAAACTTAATCCCCCAGTAATCGGATTATGTAAATTCGTACTCCAACCTCTTCCACTGCAGGACCTAGCCTCTAAATGCTCTACTCTGGGAGGAAGGGATGGAAGCAGACCCATCATTCTGAAGAGCCACCGCTAGGGAGATGATGTACCCAAAAGGCTTCTAAAAGCAGAAAGCCAACAGTAACATTTAAGGTCGGAGAACAAAAGCCAACCCCCTTCCAGGGTGCGAACACACTTAGGCTTCTTTCTCTGAGTCGTAGCCCTTTGTCTGAGTTCCTGTCCACTTGCACAGATTTTATTTTCTAGCTTGTTTCACTTAGCATCGCCCAATTCTTCCTCACAGATGAGACCGTGACACTGAGAAAATCTGTCACCTCACAGCTTTTGGCCAAGGTGAAAAATAATAAGCTTTTGTGTGGCCTGTCATAACTGTGATATAAAACAGACAGGGTGGAAAAACCATAGACGTCATAAGAACAACTTTTCTCCCACAGCACACAGAAAGAGCAGGGGCCAGAACGAGGAGCGGGCCACAGGCGTGTTTTGCAAATATTAGGTTTACGTTTCTTTGCACAAGTGGGCCACTTCCTCTGTTCTTGCCTCCACACCATCTTCACGCCCCAGTCTTGGAGTCCAGCTGTACTCACGGTTCCCATCTTTGCAGCATGCTGTTGTCCTCCTTCCCTCCACACTCTCCACCAAGATCCTAGGCCCCCAGGGCCCTGCCTGGCTGTTGCCCTTTGAAAGCCCTCCTTCCTGCCTCCTCTACTGCCTACCCTGTACCCACCTTCTTGAAAACAGCCTGGGTGTCTGGGGGCCCTGAATTGATTTGCAGAAGGCCCCAAGCCCATTTTCAGTGTTGGTTCCACGGTCTTTTCAAGCCAGTATGGACACAGAGTCCACATAATTAATACACAAGGTCCTTCACGGAAATTGAGCTGGGGGTAGGAAGAAAACAGAGGAAGACGTTAGGAGTCCCCATTTGTTCCATTATCCTCGGATTCCTCACTTGCCAGAACCTCGCTTGCTTCAAAACTTTGTTTCAGTGCCATTCCCTCACAAGCAATGTCTGATAGTCCAGCCAGGATCTCTTTCTGTCCACTAAAATCTATGCTCTCTGCTGCTCAGAACTATCAATCTTGTGTTTAGTCTGTTTGCCATGACCTTGGCCACCTTTCTGGCTCTGCCCACATACCTGAGCTTTGTAATTCAGGCCTACTCTTTTGATTTATAACAAAACTATGGGTTTTCTTTTTCTTTTCTTTTTTTTTTAAATGTATGTCTTTTTTTAATTATTTTTATTTTTATTTTTTTAACATTAGTTACAGTTTATTAACTTTGTATCCCAGCTGTATCCGGCTCCCTCATTCCCTCACAATCTCACCCTTCCTCCCTCATCTTCTCCCTACCCCTTTCCAAGTCCACTGGTAGGGGAAGACCTCCTCCCCTTTCATCTGACCCTAGCTTACCAGGTATCTTCAGGCCTGGCTCCAAAATCCTTCTCTGTGGCCTAGCAGGGCTGCTCCTCCCTCAGGTGACAGGGGTGGGTGGTGTCAAAGAGCTAGCCATTGAGTTCATGTCAGAAATAGTCCTTGTTCCCCTTATTAGGGAACCCACTTGGATACTGAGCTACCATGGGCTACATCTGAGCAGGGGTTCTAGGTTATATTCATAAATGGTCCTTATTTGGAGATATAGTCTCACAAAAGACCCCTGTGCCCAGATAAACATACTGAAATCTGTACACCTAAAGAAGATAAACAAGAAAGAGGACCCTGGGTAAGACGATCAACCCTCACTTACAAAGATAAATGGGATGGACATTGGATGTAGGAGAAAACAAGTAACAGGACAGAAGTCTACCACTGAGGGCCTCTGAAAGACTCTACCTAGCAGTGTATCAAAGCAGATACTGAGACTCATAACCAAACCTTTGGCAGAATACAGGGAATCATATGAAAGAAGGGGGAATTAGTATGACCTGGAGAGGACAGGAACTCCACAAGGACCAAGATGATGGGTTTTCATGAGTGTAGGGTAAGGAGTCTTGGGCATGACAAGCACCCCAAGGGCTCGGTGCCTCGCAGCACTGATCTCTTCCATTGCATTAGGGCTAAGAGTGCTTTGGGGTTTACTCCATGGTACCCAGGCTGCAGGAGCAACCTCAAACATGACTTTCTCATTGCTGATTTCTCTGCCCCTAATCATCCTGCTCGCGTTTCTGCTGCATGCTCTATGTCTGATATGCTCACATTTCATTGACTGACGCAAGGCACATGACCAAGGCTGGCATTGGGACAGGGAAGTATATTCTTTTTACCTATTCAGAGCTGCTAGGCACATGGCTCTGGAAGGGTTTATATAATACTCTCACAGAGAAGGGAACTAGAATACAGCTGGAACAATAATGTAATTAACTACAGTAAAATTTTATTAATACTATATCATGTGCTATTTGTGATCCTAAATACCGTACCTGTTTTTTTCTTCTTGTTTGATTCCCACAGTTCTAGCATTGTACCCATCTTACCAATAAGGAAACTAAAGCAGAGAAAAGTTCGGTAGTTTGCTTAGCACCACACAAGTGAATAAACGAGAAACTTCGGCCTGGGTAAATACAGCCTCAGAGCCAGTGCTCGTATTCACCAGGATGCAGCGCATTTCTGGGACCTTCGGTGAGAAATACGTAGAGATTCATTGTTTACTCATACCTAATCAAACAACATTTGATGGACATGGGTTCAGTGTGGTAATGATGGCTATGGAAGAGAGAGAAGACAAGATAAGTGAGTGAATATCACTAGGTGAGATTAAGCACCAAGAACTCAGCAAATGAAGATGTATGTGTAGGCCTGAGCTTCTGGCATGAGGGTTGGGGGTGGGGGGGGGGCCCGCAATCTTAGTATGCCCAAAAGCTCTCAGGAAATGGGCTGATGAGTCAGCCGGGAAAGACACTGGCTGAAGGCCTAAGTTTGATCCCTGGAACTTACATAGTGGAAGGAGAGAGCTGCCTCCCTCAAGTCGTTCTCTGACCTTTACACATTTGCCTTGGGGCGCCTCCTTCAGCCAATGCATAAATATGATCTTAAGAAAGTTAAAGCTCTCCACCCCTGAGAAGGTAGCATCTGAGGAGAGACCTAACGTCGGTGCTCTGAGGGCTGGGGGTTATGTCTGGGTTTGTTTGGAATTATACTCTCAACACCTGAACAGGACCTGACTGCGGTGTAAGTTTCCAATACTGACCTGAGTCACAGCAAAGGAAGGAGAGGGGAGAACCCCCATGGGTAACCTGGGAGAGGCACCGTTCGGGCAGAGTGAACCCCCCCTGCCGGAAAAGCTAGCAGGCGGAGGGTGTCTGCTGTGCTCCTGCTGACACAGGGAGTATCTGGAGTTAGGTGAAGCCCAGGGAAAGAAGGGACTAATTGAAGGGATAAGGGGAGCGGAGAGGCCACCGACAGCCTGAAGCTCACTTTCCTTCTGTTTTGTTTGTTTGCTTGCTTGCTGGCTTCCTTCCTTGCTTGCTTCTCAGACACGGTCGCCCTCACTACGTAGACCAGGGTGGCCTCTTCCCTCGGCGTTGCAGATGTGTGCCACCATACAGATTTATGTTTAGCTTTGAATGAAATGGAGAGCCGCCAAAGAGTTTAGATCTGAGAAGTGACAGAGATCTGACTTGGGTTTTCTCCGATGATTCTGAGAGATACAGGACAGGAGAAGCGTGGCAAGGGCAGAGTCCCTCCATTCCTGAAATAACCACGCCCTGGGCTGACCAGCAGGAAAAACCAGACCAGACCCATGTATGCATCCGCCAATCTGTCCAGCGTGGTGTGTTTAAACTTGGTTGTGTGTCTGCATTTCCTGGGGGTATTTGGTGAAATTGCAGGTTACAGCCCGCATCCCTGAAATTCATTTAGGGGATCTGGAGCTGAGCACTGGGGTTTGAAAAAGGCACCGGGTGAGTGAGTTAACAAGAGAAGCACTGGGATGCTGGTCTGTAAGAGGAGGTTGGAGTCAGCAACCCCTCCCCTAAAGCCTTAGACAAAGAGGGGACCTCCTCCTTCCACTGCTTCTTGACTGCTGTACTTGGGAGGGCCGACAAGGCCAAGTGGGGAGGGACTGGCGGGGGTCCTCGTGAGAAGCCCCCCTCCCCTCCCCGCTCCTGTCGTCGCCAGACAAAGGGCGGTGTCCTATAAAGGCGGTGGCGGAGGCACAGCGTCCAGGCGAGGGCGCACACGGACAGCCGCCGCGACAGCCACGGTGACTGCGCCGGCTCCCAGCGCCCGGCGAGAAGGTGCGTTGGCCGAGTGGGAGCGGGCAGGAGCACGGGGCCCCCGGGCAGGCCACGGAAAACACAGGAGGGAGAGGTGGCGATTTGGTAGCAGCCACGGAGGGGGCTCGTTGGGTGACCCGGGAACTTGCAGCGGGGCAGCGGCAGGGGCGCGGCACCTGGGGGGCGTGTTGTCGCTGGAACGCAGAGGCCGCCCCCTCCGCCCCAGCGCATCCCCGGCGCTCCCTGCGTCGCCCCCAGACCTCTGTTAGCGCCCCTCCGACGTCCCGCAGGTGTGAAATGTCCGCTCTTCCAGACTCCTGAAAGAACGTATCGGGCACGCGAAATGGCTCGCTGCGGTGAAATATCCTGTTTTTTATTTTTTTTAAGGGGTGGGGGAGGGATCGCTGGGAAACGAAGAGGGTTCACGGGACAAGCAACAGACTGGACAGAACGGGCAGGGAGATCGAGTGCGTGCGGGCTGCGAGGCGTTGGCGTCAAGTGCGCGTCGGAATCTCCGGCTCCCAGAGCAGCGCGCCCAACTGTCGCAGAGCATAACGTCGGGTTGCTTGAGAGAGGCAAACTTGCGTGATCGTGTGTAGAGTGGGTGCTAAACTGTGAGCGTGTGTGTGTGCGTGAGCGAGCTTGGGCGCGTAAAGCCCAGACCCGCAGTGATGGGCAGTGGATGGGTTAAGTAGATAGGTGGGAAACCTTCCTTGTACGGTTTATTTATTTATTTTTTAACTGGCATAGAATAACTTCTTAAAAAGCAACATAGAAGGTGCTGGGCATCATTGTAACATTTCCAAATGAACCACTGCCCTCTACCCTCAGACCTCCTTGTAAAGTTTTTCTCGGTACTTCCTTCTTAACGGAGCAGAGCCGAGCCTAGTGATAGTCCCAATCTCGCTATCCAAATGGCTGCTCAGCTTTCTTCCTGTGGAGTAGCTACACTTCCAAGACAAAGTTGTGAGGTACAACACACAGGATCAGGCTGCAGGACTGAAAATCCTGAGAACAAAAGAGCTGTGTGAACCCTGTAGCCGTGTGAGCGCGAGGACTTCTGTGCCTTTCTGTGTCCAGGCGCTGCGGGCGCCGGAGAGCAGCACCACCTTCTCTAGGAGTCATTTTCTCCGGTCATGTGTTACCTTCGCTGGTGACAATATACTATATCTACGGTTTATTTAACATGGCGTTTGTCCAGATGCTTTCTATAGTGCCCATGCTGGAGTGAGATACCTTGTCCAGGCAGGCCTTGAACTTATGATCCTTTTTTTTTTTTAATTAAAAAATATTTACGTTTATTGAGTATGTATCTGTGCTCAACTTTCATGCCTGGTGTCCAGAGTGGGTCCTCTGGAATTGGAGTAACAGATAATTATGGGCTGCTATGTGGGCATGGGGAATTGAACCCAGGTCCTCTGGATGGATAGCCAGTGCTTGTAACTGAGTCAATTCTGCAGGCCTATTATTATTAATTTGAGTCTATAACCCTACCTACCGAGGGATATGTGGATAGAATTCAAGAGTCCGTGAACTTGAGTAAGGAGATATTCCAATTTAATTCAATTAACATTTATACTAAGTGTAGCATTTCCTTTATTTATGAATATAGGTGATAAAGGGTACTAATGTCGACATGGTTTTAAAGAAAGTAAGCCTGTTTTTTTTTTTTTTTCCTTGCTTCCCTTCTCTGAATAATGACTTTAACTGCACTAAATACACAGACACAGGACATATCCAATTATATATAGTGACTTCAGATACTGTGATTTAAAATATAATACAGTAGCAAAGTCTTATCCTAAGACAAGGCAGTTGTGGCAAATTTGTCACCAGTAGAAGTCCCAGATACTTGCATCTCATATCCCAAATGTTGCAGAACTTTAAAAAAAAAAAAAAAATCAAATATCACTTCTCAGAAATGATGATAAAATGTGTAGTTTTTTAATGTGTTAAAAATTAAGCAAATGTACTCCCTATATTTCATTTTTATTTTAGTATTTTAATAACTTCTAAGTACAACTGATTTTTATGTCTCTTTAATTTAACTTGTACATTTAAAATTTCAACATAGAAACTAATATATATTGAAAATTATTGGCTTGAGCGGATTGAAACCCCAAGCTTCCCTAGATCACACACACACACACACACACACAAAAAAAAAAAAAAAAAAGCTAATGAACTTTAACTTAGTGGGAGTCCTGAGCTGTGACACCGATGCTTGGCCTTATTTCAGCATCTATCCAAGGCATCTGGTGTGGAATTTTCCCTCTCTTGTATTGCGCTGAAATCAACATTAGCGGCAATCAGACCTTGCAACTGGAAAAACACTAAATGCAATTTTCCTTTGATTTAAGAAGTACTGCAGCAATTTTCCAGTGGCCTCTATTTTGAGCTTTTCCAGCTTATTAAGTCACTGATTTCTGTTTCCCCGTGGAGAAGGAGAGTAAAACACTCGAGGCTAAATCAACAAGTAATTACCAAGCAACCCTAGGATGGCAGGCTACATTGTAGAAGAGTCTTTTTTCTTCTTCTTCTTTCTCTTTTTTCTTTTCTCTCACTGTTCCTCCTGTCTGTCTAGTACAATGGGCTCCAGCCCTCTTAGAAAAACACCACAACCAGTTTACCCTGCCTAATCTTCTTTCCTCCCAGCTTGAAAGGGACCCCACCCCCCATGGGACTAGAGTTGACTTGGCTGTGAGCTAAACCCTCTTTTGATAAGACAACTTTGCCCCTCAGTCCTGGCTGGCGGTGAACAAAACCTAATCGTTTTCTTTCTGTCTTCAAGTCCCCTTGGTCAGGGCTCAGGTGTAGTTTTCTGTGTCGGGAAGTCGGGTAAAGTCCTGACAGTATACTTTTATTGTGGAACCGAAAACCAAAATATTCAGAAATGACGCAGGGTAGGTACAAGCTAATGGGGCAGTGTACATTTCTAAAGAGGATGAGGCCTAGTCCACCCATCTCTTTTTCAGGGAGGTGTGGCTTGCTTGGAAGCAGGCTCTAACCTGTAGGTGTTGCTTCCCTGCTTCTACAGGATCTGTTTTCCTCCCTCAGGTAAACTGAAGGCAGCTAGCAGTCCGATAAAGCCATGCCCCGAGATGTAGTTCTGACCGCTCCTCCAGGGTCTGCCACAGGCTGAACATACACATTGAGAATGTATTTGACACACCTGAGCTATTGAAGATCATTAACTTAGACCAGTCTACCTTGAACGTGCTCAGAATACTTACCTTAGCCTACAGTTGGGCAAAATTACCAAGGCAAAGTGTGTTTTATAAGAAAGTAGGAAAATGTCCCATGTACTGTATTGGATACCTCCATCCACAAAACACTGACAGCACACACTGACAGCACAGCAGTGTGTCCTGAGGCTCCCTCCTGAGATGGCGCGGCGGACAGTGGGCTGCAGTTGATCCCAGTGTCTGCAGAGAGTACTGTGCCGGGCTATGAAGACTCTTACACAGTCAGGGTTAGGAGCAGGCTGGGTAGGGCTGATCCCTTCCCTAATATCAGGCGTGAACCTCAGGCCTCCCTCATGCAAGTACCCCTGCCCAGGAGGACTGAACCTGGAATCGTCTTGCCTCGGCCCCTAAGTAGCTGAGACTGTGGGCCTGCAGTGCCAGGCTCAGCTTAGAGCAGCTCTTTAAAGAGTTGGAGGAGACGTGAGAAGAAGTTCAAGAAAAAGGAAATGGCATGAGGGAAAAGGTAGAGTGAGTTAGCGATACACATCACTCTTTGGAGGAGGCAGAAGGGGCGAAGTGCCCGTGCACCCTGAGGCTGGAGCAGGCAGCAAGTGACACAGTGAGCCACAAACACAGACTGCCTAGGTCTGGTGTTGGCTTATCTGCCAGTGTCTCTTGATGGTTCCCACTACAAAGCACTAGTCCAGACCACCTGGGAAAAGGGGGAGGGTGTTTCATGCCTTTAAGAATACAGATGGCAAAATGAGATTTAGCAGTATTTGATGATCGTTCCATATGTGGAAAAGGTCAGCTATGGGGATGCCAAGAAGTCCAGGTGTCCCTTAGAGATCTGTGTCACAGTGCCTGTCCTTTTCATTCTCATCAGGCTGAATACTCCCATGTCTGTCTTCATAAATCTGGGTCTCACAGCTGTTTTGCAGCCTGCTCACAATCCTCAGATGTGCTCCTGTGTGAACATTCTAGCCATTGGAGACTGGGGCCCAATCTTCCAGATGAGATCAGCTAAAGCAAGGAGAGCTGCCCCGTCTTCTCCAGTCCAAAGACCATTTTCTTGATGAAACCTGAGAGGATGGCTTTTTCTCACTTCTTAAAGGTTCTTAACTTACTGCACATTCACAGCCAACACTTCACAGGCTAAATATATATTTTACTCACACATGTATGCAATTCTATGCTGCAGAGGATTTTTTATCAGCTGGGAAAGTTAGGTTATAAAGGAAGTGGCGGGGTTGGAGATGTAGCTTGGTTGGTGGAGCGCTGCTTGGCATGCATGAAGTCCTGGGTTCAACCCCCGTCATGCACAAACCGAGAATGGTGGCACGTGCTGGCAGCCCTGGCATTCAGGAGAGAAAGGCAAGAGGCTCAGATGTTCAAGGTCGTCCTTGGCTGCACGGTGTGAGGCCATCCTGGAATACATGAGCTCCAGTCTCAAGAAGTGGGGGAGGGGGATGCAGGAGACGAGGTGCAGTTTTGTAACTGGTGACTTCAAAATAACCAGGAGAAAAGAGCTATACACAGAGTGCTGTTTTTCGCTTGCACTTTCTTCTGGAATCTTACTTCTTCTTAAAAACGACATTTCTAAAAAACGTCTTAAAAAACTCAAAATGGATTTCCTAAGATCTGAGCCGAGCTCTAACGCTGCAGGTTCTTGGAAGGACATGTGATTATAACTGACTCTTACAAGGTCTTGGCTACCAAAGCCCCTTTTCTCTCCTATCTCAGGAACCTGGACATGACCAGAAAGATCTTCACAAATACCAGGGAGCGGTGGAGGCAGCAGAATGTCAACAGCGCCTTCGCCAAGCTGAGGAAGCTTATTCCCACTCACCCGCCAGACAAGAAGCTGAGCAAAAATGAAACACTTCGCTTGGCAATGAGGTATATCAACTTCTTGGTCAAGGTCTTGGGAGAGCAAAGCCGACAGCAAACAGGAGTAGCTGCTCAGGGAAGCGTTCTGGGGCTCTTTCCCCAAGGGCCCCACCTGCCAGATGTGGATGACAGAACTCTGCTCTACAGAAACTCTGACTACAGAGTTTCTTCCCCTGGCCCAAGCCATGGGGCTCCCTAGGGTGGTCGTGACTGTCAGCCCCCAGGGCAGTACTAGTTAAAGAGTCGTGTGGTTTCATGCTGCCGAGAGGTATGCCGCAGGAACTGACCCGGACAGCTGCTGAGAGCCGAAAGGAGGCTTGAGCAGTGTTGCTCTGGCCTCATTACCCCAGAACTTCAGGCAGAGCGAGCGGCTCGCTACTGTCTGTTCTATAAATCAGCACGAGACATTTAAAAAATTACAAATAAAAAAAGCAAAACAAAACAACCGTAAGTTTAAAACTGCTGTCTCACTCATGACTTCAGTAATGAGGACTTCCATATACTGGATCTCGCATGAATGCACAAGGCTTGTTGCCCTCTGAGTATATTTAAAAGTTTACTTTGAAAAAGGAGATGTGTTTGATTGAGGGCAAATACAGAAAATCTTAAGACTGATGAATGACAAGGTAGCCGCTGTAGAAACCAACCTGGGAGAGCCATGGGGCCATCTCTGGAGGGAGGTGTCCTTCTTACCTCCCACCCCAGCAGAGCAGTGAAGATTGTATGTGGAAAATTCCCGTCTCCTTCGACCTCTGTAGAATCATGCCATTCTACTTCAGTTGAGCCTTTGATATATATACTGTCTCTGAAACCAAATAGTAGATTTCATCCCTGTGAAGAAAAACTTTGATAATGTATGAACTGGACTTCATAGCTTTCTTAGAAAAATCAGCTAAAATGAGGGAGCAAACCCCTCAATTTGACACATTTGATATTGACACTTTTAATTCAGCCCAAATTCCTGCTGAGTTAAGTCCTGTAAAATTCAAGGATAATCATGAAAATCCAAATGTTGTCATTCTCTGATTCAGTGAGGGTAAACAATAGAAATGGAATACCAGATGCTAATGTACTAGTGCCTTTAACTTTGCCTTCCCGTCTCACAGTCTTAAACTGGGGGCAAGGTAGCAGCCAGTAAGTCAGTAGCACACTGTAGATGACTATAGCACACTATAGTCATCATCACACAGCATCCTGGCTTTGATGGCGGCTGGACTCAAAGATAAATCTCGTGGCTAAGCCCCAAATGCTGATTATGTCTGATCTCTAGAATATTTAGTTCTTTTTGCTTTATAATCTTGCAGATCACATGTGAGAAATCTACGGATTGTGGTTATAAATTTCCAATGTCTACACAACACAGAAATGGAAGCTTCTTGCTCTAGAAGCATTTTCTTTATAAGTGACACGATCATTACATCACTGAGGTCTAGTTAGCTGATGCGCTTGTAGCACAACGGGTTTCCCCATAAGTCCTTTATGTAACTTGCCCTTGATTAATGTCCCCACAGAAAGTATAGATTATGGAGACACATAGGCACAGAGGCTAAAGGATTCCTTTCTTCCACCCCCAATGTGCATATGATTCTTACCAGCCTGGGGAGATTCAAGCTTTTTCCAAATTACCAGGCAATGAAACATTTCAGTTTTTATGGTAGGTGTCAATTGAGTAACACCGCCCTCTCATCTGGCATTAGATTAAAAACAATACATCTGGGGGTGGCTTTGTTTTTACTTAGCTTTGGACACGAGGACAGCACAGAGGACCTCTGTCCCTAAATGCAGAATCTTTGTGCTATGCACAAAATGCACTCTTCTCCTGCAGCTTTTGTCTGTGCTCGGAGAGGGCCTCCAACTGCAAAAATGCTACAGGGACACCAAAATGACGTGAGGACGTTGAGTTATCATTACACTAAATGAGGGGGATAATTATTTTAAAACCTAGAGGAAATCCTTTCATAGATGAATAACCCTTTGCAATGTTATAATATGTGATGTACTCCTTAAAATATTTATTCAACTTCAAATTTCTATACCAAGTTGTATTAACATGGCTGTTAAAAAAAAATTGTAATCACATGAGGTCCAAAGGCCAGTCATGATATGTGTGAGACTGTAAGCTAATTCAAAACTCCCTCTGTGGTTTTCTTTGGTGTCTTCATGTCAAGGCTTGGTGGTCCTAGCAGTGAGACTTCATAGTTCAAATGCACTACAATCCACTGAATGCTACATCTGTTTCTGTGTGATTTGAGTCTAACAGAAGAGTTAAGCCAAATTTTGTAGCCATGCTTCTCTGTTTCTTGGACTAAAGGGAGTGTTTGGTCTGCTTTAGACCCTAATGGACATGTTTAGAAACCACATCCAAGCAGGACTTTGTTTTATATAGACTGTCTGCTTGGTTACTCCATTTCATTGAGGAGAAAACAGGTCCACGGAGTTTCAGAGTGATGTTCCAAAGGTGGGCCATCAGCAGAGACCTGGACAGGATGCCTGTCTCCTGACCCTCTCCAGCCTTTCCACGGTACTGATTAGTCACTGTATATTTGGGATTGAAAACAAAGAAGCGCCTTACCGTTATGTTAATCTCTTCCCGGAAGCATTTAATGATCTTTATATGTTCTTTCTGTGATACGAAATTATCATGCTTTGTAGAATGTGAGTAGATATGCCAACCAAAGATTTTTATCTGTTGGTATGTTTTGGAAAATCTTGACCATTGATTACAATTTGCTATTTAACTGTTAATTTATCACAAATAAATTATTTAAGAAAGTAAATCGTATAATTTCATAAATTTACTAAGCTTATCCACCTACCTCTCCACTCTACAATCACTGTCCTGATTTGGAAAACAAACAAACAAACAAACAAACAAACAAACAAAACTCTCCACAACTCATTGTCCTAAGCTTAGGAAGAAAATTAGCCCATGTCCTCAAAGCAGTGTGCTATCTTCTTTCCCCTTTTTTCTTTTCTTTTCTAGCCACATACGATCCCCATGGTCTTGAACTCATGATCCTTTTGTGTCAGCCTTTTTTTCCCTGGGATTACAGGCAGGTGTCACTACATCTGACTCATATGGCTTCCTAATTGTCCTCAAATTACAGCTGTGATCAGATTGCTCCTCTGCTACCAAACTCTCAGTGCATCATCTACATACAAACATGAGACTGCAGGAAAAAGGGTGCCTGCAAGCCTGGGCCCATCATACCTTCTCCTCTTTCCGAAAACCCTACATGTTTTACCTGGGCCAATAAAATGGCTTCACTCAATGACCCATTTTTCCTGGCCTACAGAGCTAGTTCTAGGACAGCCAGGGCTACATAGAGAAACCCTGTCTTGAAAAACAGAAACAAACAAAACAATAACAGAATTTAAGCAAGCCTTCCCCTGATAAAAAGAAAGCCATTAAAATGAAGCTGCGTGTTCAGTCTAATGCTTCTCTCTAAAGTTTCCCATAATTACCATCCAAAAATAGCCCTTACAGCACCTGCCTTGTGAATTTCATCACCTAAGAATGGCTTGAGATAACAAAAATAAATAGGAAATTATGCATGACTGGCATTGTCCTTAAAAAGGCAAAAGATGAAAGGGGTTAGGGATAATGGACAGCTTAACTGCTGACCCACAGGCCAAGGGTTAGTCAAAAGTCACATCCTCAGCTAGAAAGGTCAACGGTATGGAGGGATCTGAAAGTCCAATGGCAATGCAAAATGAGGGCTTTGCAGCAGGTGTTAAGAAAAGAGATGCTGAGGCTAGAATGTCCTCCAGGGACCTCAAGAGGCAAGGGTGGCAAGCCCTTCCCAGCCCCGTGTCTTCCTGTCCCCCCCGCCCCCGCAGCTTACTAGAGACAGAAAGACATTATGGATTCATTTTCTTATCCTCACTAATGATCTGTTATAAAGAAGTTCTAAAGATACTAGATTTGAACATAAGCCTCAGTTGGGTTCATAATTTACCAAGTAACATTTATTACAAGAATTTAAAAATGCCCACTCAAGAAATGCACCTGGGAGACTAATGGTCATCACTGGAGAAGTTTTGAAAATGTGGGACATAGTGAATACAATCCCAGTATTTGATCTAAGTAATTATAAGAGAAATGAATAAAGATATAATCAGAGTTCTGGTCAGAGAAATATGTTCATGAACTCAGTGCAGCAATACTCTGGTAGTCCCAACTTTGGCATAGGTAAGACCAAAGGATTGCCTTTTTCCAGAACTCACAGCCTGTGCAGCAGAAAGAGACCTTCTCTCTGAGGGAAATTCGTTCTCAAATAATTATACACATGTAAGGAACACATGAATACAATATGAATAAGACTGACAAAGTTTTCACTACCTACCTAACACTGAACCCAAGAACTTTTCATAATTTTCATAATAATATTATATTTGTGAGTATAACACTAATTGTAATTATTGTGTTATTATATATTACTAATTGTGATTATATCCCTTAATTATATGTACTTCTTTTTGTGATCCTGCAATCTTGGATATATTTGGCGAGCTCTCTACACTGAGCCACATCTCCAGGCCTGATTACATATGTGTATTATATAAATATTACTTTTGCCATTTCATAGGATACCTGGGAATATATAACTGTGCAGGCTCATACCGCTGAATCACAACTCTACTGTCAGCTATTTTTCACAGAATAATTGTGTCACACAAAGCCAGGGTGACTTTTCATGGCCATTATACTTACATTCACACCCTCAATTCTTGTTGACTCTAACCACATCCATGGAACCTCATGAGCACACTGTTTGCATGCCTGATCAGGCCACCTCAGACACTCTGTTTTTCCTTCCCAACACTGGCTCCTCCATCTTGCCCACTGTCCTGGTTTCAGCTCTCTGGAGTTGAAGAGAAAGGAGGACTTAAGGATTGCACAAAATGTTTTCTTCCCTCGGTGTAAGATGACATTCTTGCTCTCTGTAAAAGCTCTTTGTATCGGTTGTTTTGTTTTGTTTCTTTGTTTGTTTTGTCAGTTAATCATATACATGCCTTAGGTTTGAAAGGACTTTAAAAGAAGGCTGGAGAGATGGCCAAGTGGTCAAGAGCACTGGCTGCTCTTGAAGGGGACTCAGGTCTCATTTCTAGCACCTGTATGGCATCTCACAGCCATCTGTAACTCTAGCTCTCTGGAATCCAATGCCCTTTCCTGGCCTCCGTGAGCCTCAGGTTTGCCTGTTGTGTATATACATACATGCAGTCACACTGGTACACATTAAATAAAATAGTTTTTCTTCAAAAAAAGAGAGAGAAAGACTAAGAAAGAACATACAATTAGACTTCCTGGGTTCAGCAAAACTACCTTGTACCTAGCAACATGACACATGACCTCTGTGATCAGATTCTCCCCTGGGGTAAGTGGAGTGCTATCTTGAAATAACTTGCATTTACTCCAGAAGTCAGAAGATAACTTCAGTGTCATTTTTAATAGTTCACTAAATAAATCAAGATTTAATTTGACCTTTTGTATTTATATGTGTATGTATGTCTGTATATATGTATGTAGGGATGGATGGATGATGTATGGATGTTTTCTGTGTGACCTGGTGTTTTTTCTCCCTGCACACAGTGTTTCTGAAAGAGTCCAATTACACCAGAAACTTGGGATGTGTAGGATGTGTAGGATGTGTGGGATTCAGACCTCCTTGAATTCCATGTTTTGAAAGCGTTATTAGCAATGAGAGAAGGTCCTGGAAAATGGACTAGATATCTGTCACCTGAGTTGTGGAGTGTCTAAGTGATGTGGGAGGGGGTGTCATATCAGTGAAATCTGGCAGCTCTCTCCTCTCTCCTTTCATGGGCACCAATAATTAGCTGTTAGAGATGACAACCAGGTAGCTTGGATTCCCTTTAACGCCATAAAGATCATGCAAGACCTTTGAAAATATTCTGAGGGTAGAATTCACTCATAAGATGTAAAATTGTACTGAGGCTGGGGGATAGCTCGATGATAGAGCCCATGGTTTGTGCTCTGAGTCATGGGTTTAGTTCCCAACCCCTAAAACAAACAACAAAGAAGCAAACAAAAGCCCATTCTATTGAATAAGACATAAATGGAAGAGAAGTTCTACTTACCTGACCCATCCATTTTTATCATCTACACAATTTTATCAGCGAGTTCGCAAATAAAACTCCGTGTTCTTTTTTCTTCCTCTTTCTTAATCTCTTACTATTGTATCCTACAGTCTTGCAAGTCGTAAGATACTCTCATGTTTGGTTTTTTTTTTTTTTTTTTTAACATCTGCATCTACAACACCGTTCCTGCTAGCCAGTCCTCCACTGAGGGATACTGGGGTGTCATAGCAGTTTTGCTGCTATGAACAAGTGCGCAGTGAACACCGTCAGCAGACTTCTGTCTCCAAGCTTACAGGTCCTGTGCCTGTGCAGCACAATGAAGTCTTAGCAGTGGTACAGGTCGTTCAATGTTCATGCGATGTCACCTGCAGACCGTGCTGACAATTGCGGAGACACTTGGCAACCTGAGGAGTGAAAGGTTAGCTCGACGTGGTTTTGTTTGCCTTTTCTTATCATGAGTGAGATGAGTATGTTTATGGGTCATTTTTTTTTTCCTGTTCTGCAGAATGTCTTAGCAGTTCTCTGCCTACTTTTCTATTGATTTGTTCACCTTTTTCTTTCCATTTTTTGAAAGATATTTACAAATGAAAGAGGTCAACCTTTTTTCTAAGGTTTGTGCAATAAATATCTCCTCCAATATTTCATTTATGTTACAGTTTTGTTTCTATTATTTGTCATAAATAAGAATTTGATTATAGCTGGGTAGCCGTGGCACATATCTTTAATCTCAGTACTTGTGAGGCAGCGGCAGAGGCAGACAGATTCTGAGTTTGAGGCCAGCCTTGTCTACAAAGCAAGTTCCAGGATAGCCAGGGCTATCCAGAGAAACTCTGTCCCATCTCCCAAAATTGATTTTAAGATTAACATGGATTTTATGGTTCTACACATTGAGTCACGGGGAACTCTACTTCGCTCTGAGGCCTCTGTCCTTTTGAATTCATGATAAAATATGACAAAGCCCTGTCTTTGAGGTTTTAATTAAAGAAAAGTGTGAGAGAATAGTTCTGCTGTGAACAGTCTCTTCCCATTAGGAAGGAGGAGTTATTAAGGAGTTGAAGGTTCAGCCAGGGCTACACAGTGAGGTCCTGTTTAACATGAAGGTTAAATAAAATAAATTTGGGTAGAAAAAATTACTTTATTATCTCATCAAATACTAAACTAGGTTTTAATGAAGAAATAATTCAAAGACATGCTCCCTGGAGCTCTGACACAGGAATACGGAAGTCCTAGTCCAGTAGGTCGGTGACAACTCACCATTGCTTGCTTAGCTAGATGATACATATTCCTGGTCTGGAAAAAGAAGAATTATCCCCAGAAAGAAGGAGACAACCAAAACAAAAGGCAAAGATGCTTTTGTTGTGTCAGCCTTCTGTCACAGTGTCAAAACACCCAAGTTCATTCACTGAAAGGAAGAAAAGGTTGTTTGGGGTCATGGTTTTGGAGGTTTCAGACCATGATCCCTAGTTCTTGATGCTTTTAGGCTTATGAAACATTACAGCAAAGTGGAACACATGGAGGAGGAAAGCTGTTTACCTTGTGTTGCAGGAACCAAAGAGCAAGAAAGGAGAGAACTGATGCCACCACATATCCTGTGAACGCAAGCGCCGTATGATGGTCTCATTTCTTCCAAACAGGCTCCACCTCCTAAGATTCCGACCACATCTCGATGGCGCCATTCACAGGGGACGAAGCCTTTAACCCATGATCCTCTGAGAGACATTACAGAGAGAAACTCTGCAGTGCAATGAATATTGAAATTGGTATGAGTGATAGTAATGTACTTCATTATGCTGTTGAAGAAATCTTATTAAAGCATAGTATACTTTTATTTCCATGAATGCTCAAATTATATTCTTTGTCCGTATCTTGAGCATGATATGAACTATCTCTGAAAAGTCAGATTTTGTTTGTAACAGACCCTTACTGAAATCTGTGTGGGAAGGCACAAAGTGAATTGTCTACCTGGAGTGCCTTGGCTGACTTAGGTTTCCATGCTCTACTTCCTGTGGCACTACACAGGAGCTTTGTGAAGGGATGCACAAAATCAGCTCTCTGAAGCCTTCAGGAGACTAATGATCTTGTCTCTTGCCTGCTGCTACTTACTCTTTCTTCTGGACAGGAGGACTCAAGAGCTCAGCTTCTGTCAGAGTGAGGTTATTTTGTTCCCTGCCTTCCCAGTCTCAGAGCTTTTGAAAGCAACTTGCATCATACCCTTTGTTCCTCCCTGAGAGGATGTGGGCTCTGACTTCAAGAGGAGAGACACTCACCGGGGAAACTGACGGGGACACGTGGACTAGAGAAATGACAGGGAAGGCAAAATGGAGGTGAAATAGCTTCTGGGACTACACAACTCTGCAATCTGTTCACAGGCTTCATCTTTGAACTTCTTGGACACACCGTGTAAATGTTTCTGAACACTCAGGTTTGGCTTGAGAAGGAGTCAAAGTATAAACACCCACAGTAAATGTTACTAACCCGCATTGCATGTCTGCAGTGGCCAGGATTTTATAAATGCTGTTTTTAATTCTTCCTGCCACTAGTTAATGTCGCTGTTTCTCAAGCTACAGCCACAAGAAGTTGTGACATTGAAGAGTCTAGCAACAAACTTAAGACCAGGCTGGTGAACAGGAAGTGAACAGGAAGGCAAGGCTCTGGACCAGATCTGCTTTTTGGCAAAGGCAAAATTTCTTTTACTCTTTCCTATGACTTTTAGAGAAGGGGTGAGATGGCTCAGCAGTGTAAGGCGCTTGCCAAGAAAGCCTTGCTACCAGAGTTCAATGCTCACAAACCACAGACTTTACAAAGTTGTTCTCCAGTCTCCACACTTATCCCAGGATGCATGCACACACACAAAATTTTTTTAAAAAAAAGAACCCTCCTAACCAGGCTGGCCACTGAACTGCCGGGTCCACCTGTCTATTCCTCCCGGCACTAAGCTTACAGAGATGAGGCTGCCACATCTGCTTTTTCTGTGGCTAGTGAGACAGTTCAGTGAAAAAATGCCTGCCACATAAGCGTGAGGACTGAGTTCAGCGCCCCAGCACCCAGACAGAACCAGGGCATGGCAGCATGCTTCTGTAACATGCTAGGAGGGCAGATTCCTGGAGCTCATAGGCCTGTGGTCCTCTTCCAGCCATCAATAGCGCTGAGATCGGAGAGCCTGTTTCTAAATACCAAATGAATAACTAAACAAGGCAGAGACCGAGAGCTGAAGACACCCAACACACACACACACACACACACACACACACACACACACACACACACACA